TGAGGACACAGACCTCCAGAGTGGCATGACCGACAAGTGGCCACACAGTGAGCCAGAGAAGACCCACCCTAAGAATGCCTCAAATGCCAGGGCGGGGGCTGCTGTTGTTCAATAAAAGTCCTTTCCATACCCTTTTACCAACTCTACGTGCATTCATTTGATTATTTAAAAAAAAAAAAAAGAAAACCATTTTCTTGTATGTTTTCTCCCTGGTATGCAGCATCAACATGTCAAACATAAAAATAAAACCACGCACCTATGTACATAAATCCTGATGGTGAACAGGAGATAGGAGGTGTATCTCCACACACCCTGCCCCTAAAGGGCTTTGGGCTCCACTCCAAATGTCTTGGCCTGGCATTCGATGCCCTCCTCCACCCTGCTTCTCCTCTGGCCACACTCAGCTCCATTGACTGAACTTGCCCCAAACTACAAAACACGTGGGAGAGACACCAAATCCTCCTCACTTCCCCCTTTACAAAGAAAGGGAATGGGTTCTCCTCTCTGAGAACTCCATGCTGGGCCTCAGCCCCGGGGGGGGGGCCTGTTCTCCCCGCAGGCTCTCTCCTACCCCACCTGCCACCCCCCCTCCCTTTCTCACAGCACTTACTACCTTGTCCCCTTTTCTTTGCTTTTTCCTGTCTAGCTCTCGGAGGGCTGAAGTTTGGGTCTGTCTGCTCTCCGCTGTCTGTACAGGCTTAAGAGTGCCTGATGAATCCTAGTGGGTGCTCATTATGGCCTGGGCTGTCCCCTGAAAGTCCTGTATTGAAGCTTGAACCCCTAGTCCTTCAGAAAGTAACTGCATTTGGAGACAGGGCTTTTAAAGAGTAAGTTCAATGAGGACGCCAGGGTGGGCCCTAATCCAATCTGCCTGATGTTCCGCAGTGCCCACGGGGCCCCAAGGGACATATCCTTGTCCCACCAATGATGGCACAGGCCCCTGCCCTCCCCGTGGCTGCCCACAGCCTTGCCCATCCCCCTGGTGGGCCCTCCCCTCCCACCTCACTGCAGTAGCAGCCTCCAGGGAGGGGCCGGGGTTCTGGCAGCTCAGCCAGAGTCTCTCCTGGCACACAGATCCATTTCTCTGGGGCCCCCGCATTTGGCCTGGGTTAGGGGACACACCCTCTCCCCTCCTTCCATGCTCTGCTCTTAGGACCTCCCTTCAAAAATCTCCCCTCCTTGGTTCAGGCTGAAGGTGGGAGATAATTAGGGGAGCAGCTGGCAAGACCTATGGAGGCATCTGGCACCCTCAGAGAGAACATGGAGGTCTTGTCTTCAGCTGCTGGGCTCTTAGAACAAAACCAAAGACAAACCTGTGTCCATCAGGAGGCTGGCAGGAGATGAGGCTGACTTCGCTGCTGTTTCATTTTTACAAGAATTTAATGAGGGGACCATTTACTTGGAAGCCAGCCTTGGTATTGAGGCATCCTGGGAATGGCAACGGTGGGAGCTGTTACAGCTCAGGCGGCACGAGAAAAGGAAGGAACGGGGTTATCGACACCAGGAAAGGGGGTCACTACCACAGAGTGGCAACTGAGGGTGGTGTAGGCAGTCCCTGGCCAAACTGCAGTCCCGGGCAGGACGGGAGCCAGGGAGAAACACCTGCCTCTCTTCTCCCGTCTCCTGCCGCTGCCTCCCACTGGCCAAATCCAGGGATGCCCTGGCACAGAGCAGGGGAGAGCAAGGCGGAGTAGAGGGACAAATGCCAAGGCTTAGTATGCTGAGGAAGCCCACAGGCTGGGTGCTCCCCACCCACTGGAATCTGGCTCTGATGGTGGCACCCTGACAGCCTGTCCCCACTAAATGCCACCACTGAGGGCCTGCTCTCCGGAGCGTGGGCTGGCCTCAGCTCCCACCCACACCTGGTCGCTAGTTTTCCAGTCTCCTAGTGACCCCAAGGCCTTGAAAGCCTCCCAACAAAATCGGTCAGGAGCTGGCATCCTCTCCTAACTGAAAGAACCTGATACAACATCTTCACCCATGGGTTGGGAGTCTTTTTCTAACAGATAATGGGCAGAGCAAACCAGTTGCTCTGCGGCCTGAGGACCAAACTCAGGAATTTGCAGCCGAAGCCAGAGCCAATATGATTCAGCACTGTGTTCGCAAAGTTACCACCACCCAGAGACCCTAGAAGCCGGACACCTCTGGGGTTAGGACCACCCCAAGAATGGATTCTTCACGCTCCTGCTTCTCAGATCACTGTCTCCCAAGGTGAAGCCCAGCGCAGTGCACTGGATCTGCTAACGGAGACGCTTCTTCAACTGCACTGCAAGGAAGCCTGGAAAAGCAGGCTCCCTGCATTGCAGTTTATGGGGAACCCCAAACACGGGAAGGGGTTCCCCTTGCTGGGCAGCTAACAGATAACAAACATGCCGACTAATTCACGTACTATTTTCAATATGTTGACGTATTTTCTTCAGACAGTATCTTCAGAGAGATTACTTACTCTTACTAAGTATTGTCACATTTCTTTCCCTAAAGAGTTAAACTAATTCCCAGCCACATCCAAAAGCAGAGTGCCTGCTTTGCCACACCCACACACGTTACCATTAAGTTGTTTTAAAAACTTACAGGCAAAATATAATTGGTGCCTCATTGTTTCTCTCTCTCTTTGGTTTCTATGTTTGTTTATTGGTTGTATTCTGCAGTCGTTTACGTGACTTAGGACATATTTGATTGTTTGTTTTGACGACTGATTTTTCATTATTTTCCTTTTTGTACCCTGTGCTAAAATTAGCTGGCATTTGCTGAAAGGAGAGATATATTAGGATTAGATTCAGCTGTGGGTAACAGAACAGAAACCAACAACAGAGGTTTAAACTAGATAAACGCTTCTTTCTCTTCCACAAAGAAGAGGCCTAGAGAAAGACAGTCCAGAGCTGGCCTTGGACCACTCCATGAAGTTGTGAGGGATACAGCTCCTCTCTGATCGCCCTCTACCAACCCTCCATAGGGCCTCATCCTCACAGTCCCAGGTGGTGGCTGGAACTACAGCCATCAAGTCCAGCAACAGGACAGAGGACAGGAAGAAGATGGAATAGCTGCCTACCTTCACAACACTCCTGTTTGCATCTTCTTGGCCCAAATGTGGTCTCACCAAGGGAGGCTGGACAGTCAGCCCAACTAAAAATCAGGATCTTACTATTCAGGACTAAGGGAAGAAAGGCTATTGAGAGGCAGGCAACCATCTCTTCCACAGACAAGGATAAAGTCACACTGAAGACAATCTTTTCATAAGAATAATCATTATGTAGTTAATCACTAAGTAGTTATCAACTATGGGCACTGTGCTAGGCACTTGATGTGTATTAACTTAATCCTTACCACACCCCTTTGTAAGGGATAACATTACTATCCTTATTTTACAGAGGAGGAAACCAAAGCACAGAGAGGCTAAGTAACTTTACCAAGGTCACGCAGCTAACAGATGGCACAACCTGGATTTGAATGTAGCAGCCTGGCTCCAGAAACCCCAGGACACAACACAGCTGTGAAGACGCTACTCTAACCAGCAATTACAGAACCAAGCCACGGAGGCCCACGGGGTTCTTCCAAGGGGCTCAAGGGCTCAGATGGGGGTGGGGAGGGTGCTGAACCAGAGCTTTCTTCCTTTGTGCCTCTGAATACTTGTTCCGCCATTCAACAAAGGTTCTTTCGTAACACACATTACATTTGTAATGCACTATTTGATGCCTGTGTCTGTCACCCCTTGGGTGACAAAAGTAGGTACTCAAAAGATACTTTCCTGTGAATAAACGCATGTGCCCAGCCTACTCTGCACGAGGCTCCAAGACAGGCGCTGAGAGCATTCAGACAAGATGCAGCTCCTGCCCAATGGCACTTACGGCCCTTCGGACGACACTAACAGGGGCGGGGCGGTGGGGCAGAGCAGGGAACAACAGAGCAGGCAAAGGCAGGGAGCCTCCACAGCAAGAAGTCTGGAGGGGCTAGATCATACTTTGAGAGTCACAAGCAACAAGGGATAAGGTCCTGAAGGTCGGCTGAAGCAGACTTAAAATTCCTCTCAAGTCCAAGGAAATACAGCCTCAGCCCCGAGGTGCTAGGGAGCCACGAGAGGCTGTAAACAGGTGGAGATAGAGTGGCATGTAAAAAGATCGTTCTGGCAGCCTGTGCAGAGGATGGAAGGACGGGCAGAAACCAGAAGCAGGGAGATTCACAGAGAGGATGTCACAGGCCTGGGATGTGGAGAATGGCGCAGATGGGCCTCTGTGGGGTGGACAGAACAACACCTCTGCTCAACAGAAGCAAGAAGGGAAGAGGTGGGCTTGCAGGGCTGAGTAAATGAAACACTGCTTAAGAGGGGCCTACTGGGAAGTCTGAGATGAGGGGTTTGGAAGGGGGTGGGGTGAGATGAAGAACAAGAGGCCCAGGCTCCAGTGTGTGAGCCCCACAGATCGTGCAGGGACCTCCAGGGTAGGGGAAGGGGCGCCTGAGGGGGTCAGTGAGGTGGGCGGAAGGGGGCTGGAGAGGGGCCCTGGCTTACACTGGGGCAGACAGCAGCTGGACGCCTGTAGGCTGTGCTCATGGCTCAGAAATGTCCCAGCCCTGCCAGGAGACTGCCTGGCCTCACTGCCTGTCCCCCCCAGCCCCAGACAGGCTCCCACATCAGGAGCTCTGAGCGCCCCTCCCTGCCTTCTACTCTCCCAGAACCCAAACATACCCACAGCCTCCCCACCACCCCTCAGCCTTTCCCCGCTGGCTGATGAAACACAGGCCAGCAAAGGGTGGGGGTATAAACAGACATCTGCAGGGGGGCCATTAGGAAGCAGGGGATGGGCTGAGGGTGCCCGGGGCGGGTGGGTAGTGGAGGGGATCCAGGAAGCGATCTGAGCCAGCAGGAAGTTACCGTCTGCATTGCTTTGCCCCCAACAGGCCTAATGAGACACAGGTGGTCCCCTGGCCTGGGCCCCCTGACAGTGTAAGCAGCTGCTGGTTCAGTCTGATGGAGGGGGAGGGGGTTCTGCAGCTACAGGGGCGGGGCTGGGGCGGCTGGCAGGGGCCCAGCACATAACTGGGCGGTTGCAGTCTGGGGCAGCAGACACCCGCCGCTCTGAGCTGAACTGGCAGCATGAAGGTACTGGGCCTGGGTGGGAGATTCACGGCCCTGGGGGAGCAACCCCACTCCATGGAGAGGATGCTCGCCAGAGGGGGCTCTTGTGGCCCACCCGAAACTCTTCAGCCGCGAGGGTGCTGAGCCTGTCTCACAGTGAGGTTTCTTGGGAGCAGGAGGAGCCAGTGGGCAGACAAAAGGTTTCTGGTGGGGAGCAGGGCCAAGTGCAGAGAAAGCTGGGCTCTGAGGTGGCGGCGAGGTGACCCTGCTCTCCTGTCACCAGGCCCTCCTGGCCCTGCCGCTGCTTCTGCTTTCCACGCCCCCGTGCATCCCCCAGGCCTCCGGAATCCGGGGAGATGGTAAGCAGCCTGTGTTCACAGCCTGGGCGAGGACAGGCCATTCTGAGCCATCACTTCTGGGAGCCAGGCCCCAGATGGGCCAGGTGATGGTCTTGGAGAGTCCCCGCCTTAAAGAATCTGGTGACTTTTTGTACTTAGAACACCCTGTCCTCCGAGACGGCAGCAAAGTGGGGTGTGGAGGTGCCCGTTAAGCCTCAGTCCCCTTCCCCTCCCCCAGCTCTGGAGAAGTCTTGCCTTCAGCAGCCCCTGGACTGTGACGACATCTACGCCCTGGGCTACCAGACAGACGGTGTGTACCTTATCTACCCCTCGGGCCCCAGCGTGCCTGTGCCTGTCTTCTGTGACATGACCACCGAAGGCGGGAAGTGGACGGTGAGTAGTGGGGACAGAGGCCTGTGTGGCCAAGCTTCACTGCAGTTTGTTCACCTCAACTGGGGTAACAGCACCCACAGCAGTGAGCTGCTGCCAATGCTCAACTCTAGGTGCTGAGAATAGGTTGGTGCGAGGATGGGTAATCCTCACAATAACCCCTGGAGGAAGGTAGTTTTTGCAGATAAGATACCATAAAGCCCAGAGCAGTGAAGTAACTTGCCCAAGGCCACACAGCCAGCACTGAGACTCACACCCAGCAGCTTAAACCCTAGAACCGCCCCCTTCAACCTATTCCTGGCTCTCAGCAGCTGCTCAGAAGGGGCCTAGTGCCAGCAATTGCCTTGTTTAGGGCCCCAGTATCACAGGTCTGTGTGAGGCCCCTGCCCATTGGACCCTTAATTGTCCAGGTCCATCCTCTCTGCTCCAGGTTTTCCAGAAGAGATTCAATGGCTCTGTGAGTTTCTTCCGGGGATGGAACGACTATAAGCTGGGCTTTGGCCGTGCTGACGGGGAGTACTGGCTGGGTAAGGTGGGGCCCAGGCGGGCTGGGGGGCTGCACAGAGCCAGGTCCTGGCTGACTGTTGCCACTCCTGCCAGGACTGCAGAACCTCCACCTCCTGACCCTGAAGCAGAAGTATGAGCTGCGCGTGGACATGGAGGACTTTGAGAACAACACAGCCTATGCCAAGTACGCTGACTTCTCCATCTCCCCCAACGCAATCAGTGCTGAGGAGGATGGCTACACCCTCTATGTGGCGGGCTTCGAGGACGGCGGGGCAGGTATCACCCAGGTGCCAGCGTGAAGGGCTGTGGGGGGAGAGGTGGGGCTGGCACTACCCAGTTGGCCCCTGACCTTCTCAGGCCCCTCCTTTTTCCCTCCTGGCCACGGCTGGCTCCTAGCCAGCTTGGGCCTCAGCCCCAAGGAGCCGCATCCCCTCCACTCCAGGCCACCCTATGAACAGCTGTTTCTCTTCACTGCAGAAGCACAATACCCAACATATGGCTCAGGGAGGGTGCCACATGTCTCGCAGCATCACTCACTGCTGCTGTCACCCTGTCCCTGCCAGCACGGGGCTCTGCTCCCTTCCTCAGCTGCCCCATGCCCCTCTCTGCCAGGTGACTCCCTGTCCTACCACAGTGGCCAGAAGTTCTCCACCTTCGACCGGGACCAGGACCTCTTTGTGCAGAACTGTGCAGCTCTCTCCTCGGGAGCCTTTTGGTTTCGCAGCTGCCACTTTGCCAACCTCAATGGCTTCTACTTGGGTGGCTCCCACCTCTCCTATGCCAATGGCATCAACTGGGCCCAGTGGAAGGGTTTCTACTACTCCCTCAAGCGCACCGAGATGAAAATCCGCCGGACCTGAGGGTCTCACCATTAGCCCCAAGCCTCCCAGCTGCTCTAGGTCTCCATGAGTGCTCCCCTGCCGCCCCTGCCCCACCCCACGGTCCCAACATGTTGGCTCTGCTACTCTCTTAGCACCTGCTTCCCAGGGGGCCTTGGGCTCTGGCCCAGACTGATCCCATCACACCTGGAGTGTCCACCTCTAGAGCCAGGCCTCTGCTCCTCTCCACCTAAAGCCACACTGCCAGCAGCTTCCCAGGCCTCCTTTGAAAGGCACAACCTCCTGACCTGGACCTGGACAGGCTCCACGGTATTCAGTGGCCTCTGCCCTACCCCAGGAGCTGAGTACTGGGAGTTGCTTTCCCAGACTGGGGCTCTGTGTTCCACTTTAGCCAGACTCCTCTGTCTGAGGCCACTCTAGACTGAGTTGGCCAAGTTTGGCTAGTGCCCAGTGCATGCCACGCCACTTGTATGTGGCTCCCAAGCCACTTGTGCCAACCCCTGGGCTGCCTGGCCCCAGTGCCCTGGGTGTTCTGCCTTACTTCCCATCTGGCCCACCCCCTCCAGACCCTGGGGGGGCCCCTTCAGCCACACCCCAGCACTCCCTCTGCTGTTCTCAGAGTAGCTCCCATCCTTTACCTCCCTCCAACTTATTCCTGAGTGAGCACCATGAACCCCCAGCCCCACCACACTATCATATTCAGCTTCCCCTGCCTGCTTATCCGAGGCCCCAAAGCTCAATACCAAAGCTGTAATTTAGCACAGCTACTGCACGCAACCTTCCAACAGCCACAGTCAAGGTATAGATATGAGGTCCCCCCTCCTGCCCTGGGGTTGAGGTTTTGGCCACGTGAGAGGGCAGAGGACAACTCTGTGGGGCCGGATGCAGGTAGGAAGTGGAGCTCTCAATAAACCTCAGGACCTGAAGGAACCTGCCTTTGGCTGTTGTGCATGTGAATGTGCTTGGCCCCCAAACCTGGGAGCTTGGCTCCTCCTTGCTCCCTTACCGATGTCACCGACCTCAACTCCAAAAAGACATCTCAGTTCGGTGCTAAAGGGAACCTTATTTCACAGGCCTCATTTCTATGCCAAAAAGATTGTGTAATAATAACAATAATAATATAATACAGAAAAGAATCACTTGGGGAGTGAGGGTGTCCTGACCCTGTCACAGCTCAGACGTGGCTCAGGTGGCTGCTTAAGGCTGCAAAGTGGGTCTGAAATGAACCTGCAGAACAATCCCACCCGAGCTGCCACTGCTGGGGCCGAAGGCATGCTCCCATGGGAGCTGGGTCTGCCCCTGGCAGTAAGGCATGGGCTGTGGGCCTCAGGGGTCCTGGAGGTCAGGCAGGTCAGCCAGCAGCATTGGGGAGTCCATCTGGATCTCACGCTGCAGGGACTCAATGTCAGCTGGGTTCATGCCGTGGCCCTCAAGCCAGTCAGCAAGCAAGGAGGCTGAGAGTGAGGCCGAGTCTGCCTGGCTGCAGGGGGAAGGGGAGTGGGGAGAGCAGAAGGGAGAGGTACTGTTAGCCTAGGCTGACTCCTCACCCATCCCCCAAGCAATCTCCTCTTACACCAGGAACCCCCACCCCCAGCCCCATTCCAGAAGTCTGATGCAGCCATCTTACCCATCCTGTGTCCCATCAGCCACACCCATGTCAAAAGACTGGTTTAGGAATTCCTCCAGGTCAAAGCCAACACCATAGCCAGCCCCACTGCCCTTTGGAGTGCCTGAGAACACGGGGGGCAAGGGGTCCTCCACCTGCAAGGGATGATGGCAGGTTGCAACACAGGGACCACCAAGAGCAGACTAAGGTCTGCAGGTCTGTCCTGATGCTGCCAGCAACTCCGCCTGGACACCTGCAGGTGACAGCAGCAGCCTTAACAACCACTGGGGGCTGGCCGGGACCCATCCTCTGGCCAGGCATTTCCCCAGAGGCATCCTATCTCCCAATAACCTGCTCACTGGCATTATGCTCCAGTGAGCAAGGGGACAAGTTCAGAGAGATAAAATGCCACCTGCCAATCAGTTTTCATGGAATAAGGATATATCAAGGCCTCTCCCGTCCCCCATCCCCACCAATAAACAAGGACTTCCTAAACCCATTTTCCCTGGGTTCAGATCCCTACATGCCCATAACCAGGCCTCTCCTCTCACCTGCGACTTGGACAGCTGCTGGGTCACCAGGTTGACATCAGGTGACTCGGAGGTGGAGGGCTGAGAGGCACCCCCAGGGTCTGGAGGGAATGGGCCAGACGAGAAGTAAGGCAAAACACCCGCGGCACTGGGGCCAGGCAACCCAGAGGCTGGCACAAGCGGCTGGGGGGCCAGGAGGCTGGAGGTGGCAGTCGGGAGTGGAGCAGGGCCAGGGCCAGGCCCTGGTGGGCTGGCTGGGTGGGGAGCAGGGCCCAGGGGTGGGCAGGCAGACTGTGGGGCAGCACCAGGGGTAGACCCTGCAGGCTGTGGTGGGGCAGTGGGAGGGCTGGTGGGCTTGGTTGGAGGGGGTGCCACAGGGGCTGGGGCTGGGGGCCGAGCCATGCGAGTCCAACGCTCCAACAGGCTGCGGTCATTGTCACTGAGCACCAGCCCAGCCAAGGGATCAGTGGAGGGGCCCCCAGAGGCCCCGGCCCCCCGCTCCTTGCGGCCTCGCTCCTGCCGCCGCCTCTCCCGCTCCTTGGCGCGCTCCTGCCGCCGCCGCCGCTTCTCCTCCCGCTCTCGCTGGCGTTCCTGGGCTGTCACTGGCTTTCGAGGCTCAGGGGCTTCCAGGGGGGCACTAGGGCCATCTGCAGCAAAGTCGGGCAGGGGGAAGGTAAGAGTCTGCAGCTCTGTCCGGGCCAGGAGCCCCTATTTGCCACCCACTCCCTAGCCAGCCATTGCCTCTGCAAGGCACCTCTGAACCGGCTCCGCAGGGACTTGAGTAGGGCAGCTTTGAGGGCAGCTTTGGTGTTGTCGGAGATGGCACCCTCCCTCTTTGGAGGAGCTGGTTCACCGGTTGGCGGGGGTGGCTGCAGGGTCAGATCAATGGTGTCAGGTGAAGGGCCAGGGCATGGCGGAGGGGCTGGCGGGGGTGATTCCATGACACAGTCTCCACTGGGAGCCCAGTGACTGGGCATCTCCACATCGGGGCAGCCAGGCTCACTGGCCACAGGCTGAAGGGAAGGCTGGAAGCGGATCTGCTGGCGGATGCCCTCACGCCGCGCATGGAAGTCCTCAATCTCAGCCACAATGGCCTCCTTAATGCGCTCCCGAGTGAGGGCTTCACGGTCAAAGGCGAAGTCAAAGGGTGGGGCACAGTCAGGCTCATCGTCAGGATCATGGTACTTGGCCAGGAAAGGGTGCCGAAGGGCAGCAGCTGCTGAGATGCGGGCACTGGGCTCAAAACGCAGCATGCGTCCCAGCAGTGAGAGGGCCTGGCGGTCAGCACCTGGATACACTGTCTCCCAGGGCACAGGTTGGCGCGGAGGCAGGCTCTGGATGTACGCCCGCACCCTCTCAGCCCCCACAGCCTGAATCACAGCTGGCGATGGAGTGCCCAGCACCATCATGATCAGCTGCAGCTGGTGCACATAATTTTTGCCTGGGAAGAGCTGGCGCCGGGCCAGCATCTCACCAAAGATGCAGCCTACAGACCACAGGTCAATAGCCTGTGTGTACTCATGAAGTGAGAGCATGAGCTCGGGGGCGCGATACCAGCGTGTGGCCACATACTCAGTCATGAAGTATTGGTGCTCAGCAGGTGAGGTGCACAGGCCCCGGGCCATGCCAAAGTCACCGATCTTGAGCTCGCAGTTCTCATTCACCAACAGATTGGAGGGCTTGAGGTCTCGATGGATGACCTGAGCTGAGTGCATGTATTTCAGACCCCGCAGCAGCTGGTACAGGAAATAGCGCACGTGCTCCAGTGTGAGTGGCTGCGAGGAGTGAATGATCTGGTGCAGGTCACTCTCCATCAGGTCGAGAACAACATAGCTAGAAGGCGCAAGGGGAGAGAGGAAGGGGCAGGGGAGAGAGGTATGGGCTGTCTCACTCATACTCCAGGTATTCACCAGGCCCTCCTGGCTCCAGACAGGTAATGGCCTTATACTCTGAGACTCTGTAGGGGCCAATGGCATGGTATGAAGATCTAGATTCTCTACCTTTTCCATGAACTTATTATGTAAAATTAAATTACTTTCCTCTCCAGACAAAGTTGCCTCATCAGGGAAAAGATAGGGGTTGGACTAAACCAGAGCTAGCTAACAGGTTTAGTTCTGGGGCCGTCTCCATTGTTTGGTGGAGACTATGATAAAAGGCCTATCCATTTTTTGTAGGAAAGTATTTTGTGATTGATTAACATCTGCTGTAGAGAAGGGTACAGTTATAATACTAATGTCCTATGTCCCACATACCAAGATTCTATAAAATTGTAACATCTGTACTCTTCTTGAAGAATCACAGTTGTCCCTGGCAAAGCCCTAAGAGAGCACTGGTCCTGAAATCATGGGAATTTTCCCAGCCTGCCTTACATTAGGCTCAACTCCCCTTCCAGAACTTAACAATATGACCCCAGCCTTTAGAAAAGGTTCCCAACTCCGCTTCTGTCTCCCATCCCTGCTCCTTACACAGATTTGAACTCGCCATAGGGCACTGTAGGTCTCAGGATGTCCTTGATGGCAATGATGTTGTCATGCTTGAAGTGTTTGAGGATCTTCAGCTCCCTGAGAGTCCGCTTGGCATTGGTCACCACATCAAAAGCATTAGGGATCTTCTTAATGGCCACCTGCTGGCCTGGGGAGCAGGGAAAGGCAGGTACCTTAGGGTGGCTGCTAAGTGGCACAAGAGCCCTTTCAACACCTCCCCTCTAGGATGCAAATAACAACAGCAAGCACACATTAAGTACCTAATACGTGCTAGCCCTGTGCTAAACACTTAACATAATCAGATTTTCCCTGCCCATCTATCCTGCAGCATGTGCTAACAGCTCCAAGTTAAGACTGTGGCTCCACTGACTTGTTGGGGGTTGCACAGCTAGTCAGTGGTAAGGGTCTAGACTCTTGGTGCTTGTGCTCATTCTACCTCCCTTCACTTTCTCTCCATCTCAGACCTCACGCCTCCCACCACTAATCCTTCACACCAGTCTCTGGCTCTGGAATACCTTTTTCTTTTAGAAACCAAGGACAAGATCTCCATTCTGGCCTATCTGGGGCTGTCATTTTTCTAAGGAGAAAGTAGGCTGATGAGCTGGCAAAGCCACCACACCAGAGTTTCAGACGACTGTGTCCAACAAAGCCTGGCACCCAGAAGGCACCTAACCAATATCTGTTGAGGTAAACGGAATTTACAACCCAGCTTTCCTTCCTGGCTGTTTGAGAGGCGCAGGTTTTTCACTGCGAACCGGGTTCCACCCCTGTGAGGGGTGCAGGATAGGGAATCTCACCGGTGAGGCGGCGGCGCGCAGACGACACCACCCCGTAGGCCCCATTGCCTATGGTCTCGATGATCTCGTACTCGTCCCCCACGTCGAAGGTCACATCGAAGGAGCGGGCTTTGAGCAAGGCCAGGTTCTTCGCCGCTACAGAGGCGGCTGTGTGGGCGGGCTCCGCCTTCGCCGGCCCGGGGGGCTCCCCAGAGCCGTCCTCGCCATCTTCTTCCTTCAGGGGCTCGGCCATGGCGTCTGCGTGAAGCTGGTGAGAATGTCCCCCCAAAAACAACTCCGCCCGGCCTCAGTTTCCCCTGGGAGGCTGGGGAGAGGAACCGGGAATTTCCAAATTCGTTTAAGCCCCCAGGGGCCGGGGAAAGAGCGAAAGAGGGCGGCTGGCGCGCAGGAGCCGCCCCACAGCCGGGCTCGGAACCCGGCGCTCAGGTCCGGGCGGAACGCAGGGTCAGAGGTGGGGGAGGCGCCGCGAGGCGCGGTCCAGGAAGAAAGGAAGGGGCGGTGCACTGCGCTCCTC